AGATCTGTCCTCGTAGGGGAGGGAGAGCTTGTACCTGAATAAAACTTGGTCTTAAAGGTGCCACTGGACTGTTTTGGACCGGGGGGACCGGGGGGAGCTCTGCAACTTACCTGGCTGCTTCTTGCTCTGACTGAGGGCTGCTGGGAGCAGGGGGTGGGGCTTGTTGCATGTGCCCGCCCCCTGGGCTCCTTACTGCCGGAGCTCCGCTCCTGTGCGCTCCTGCAGGAAATGACCCCTGGACACTAAACAAAATCCAGTGGACAGATTCTAAGGAGAAATGCAATGATGGAAGAAAATGGGGAAGGAAGATTATTCCTTTTCTTAAGCCTTGAACTGTTCCTTGTGCCTTACCCGAATGTCAGCTTCTCCCGCACTGGTGAGGTTCTGACACTGCAAGTTATAACCTCCTTCCCAAGAGGCCAGAATTAGCTGGAGAAAAACACAAACATCACTCTGAATAAAAATTCAATTCTCACTGCAATGATTAATTGTTCAGAAAATGTTTTTATATAACTTTTCATAAAACATTCCAAAGTAGCTTATAATGGCAGATAACATTTACCATTTCTTTTTTCTTTTTTTTAAAGAATCCAGATAGCAGCATGTAAAAATAATTGTCATCAACCAAGAACAAAACCAAAACAGCAGCTGCAGCCTCAGCAGAAAGGTCATAGAGTCAACACGATAAGCTCAGTTTCCCATGGTCTGGCAGAATGAGCATTTCTTGCCGCTGTGAGGGAGGCCAGCGGAGAAAGGGCCAGTCTCCCACCAAAGGGGCTTTCCGAAGTTCAGGGATGACTGGTGGGGAGGTCCGCCAGTCTCCCTCTATGGGTGTCTTCCGCTAGTGGGTGAAAAGTTTTTTGTTTCCTTTGGCACACCCCCAATAACCATTATTGGTCCTCCTCCCTGGTTTCTGGTGTTGCTTGTTTATGTGTTTTTACTGGATTGTTTTATAATTTTAAATGTTGTTTTTAATTGTTCAAAAATTTTAATGTTTTTAAGCGCACCACCTTGTAGACCCTGCTTGAGTGAAAAGGTGGCATAAAAATGTTTTAAATAAATAACGAGACGACCTTAAGCCTCATAAAAACCCATTTTGCTTCTAAAGGAGCTGATACCTGGATTGGAGCTTTGTCGACTGGAGGTTCATATAGGAGCAGTTCATACAGGAGGAGGAAGAAGAAAAAGAGGAGGAGGAGATTGGATTTATACCCCACCCTTCACTTGGAGTCTCAGAGTGGCTTACACTCTCCTGTCCCTTCCCCTCCCCACAGCAGACACCCTGTGAGGTAGGCAGGGCGGAGAGAGCTCTTTCAAGGACTGGTTTTGAGAGAACAGCTCTGAAAGAACTTGTGACTGACCTAAGGTCACACCAGCAGCTGCATGTGGAGGAGTAGAGAATCAAACCTGGTTCTCCCAGATTAGAGTCCGCACTCTTAACCACTACACCAAACTGAATCTTCTCAGGATTTTGATATGTGTCACCCAGCTGCACAGTAAAATAAGTCTCTGGGGGGGAAGTTACTCAGAGAAGTTTTGCCTTTTCCCCTTTTGTGCTAACCACAACAGCAAGTCTTAGTCCTCTGTACTGGCTACTGACATTGAAAAGAACAGCCATCCTCATGCCAACTAGGTGGCAAAGCACAGAGCCCCCGCACAAGTTACTGGAGTGCCATCTTAACCCTTTCCCATGGCTTTCCCCCCTATTGCATCAGTAATATTTGGAACTCTCAAACCATCTGGGTGAAGCAACTTCATGAGTCTTTTCTAACTGGTGGATGAGCAGGTGGGCAGGAGCCATGTGACTGGCCTCATCCACAGGCTTCCAAACATTATCACAGTGGGAAAAGCTACAACAGACTCACTAGTCAGGTCCTGCAGTAAACAGTAAAAACATAAGAGGGATCTGTAAAGGGAGGGGGACTGGTAGAAATTGCGACCCTCCGTTTCTGCAAATGTAAACATTGTTCCATCAGAACTCGGTGGTTTGATACAGGACACTTAAAACTCGCTCAAACTTTTAAAATCCTGCAATCTAAGCAAATGTTTTGCCCACTGACGAACATTCAGGGTTAAATCTGCATCTCTGTAAAATGCTGTTAAATGCTTTTCTTTTTAAGTATAAATGGATACAAATGACATAGTTTCCCTACTGGGGAGGTATACTACACTCTTAACCAACCACAAGAAATAAGATGTTACAAGTATTAGAAAAGGAATTTCATGAAACAGCAAAAAATTAACCAGTGACACCACAGGATAAACCTCTAAGTTAAAAGCCTGCCACTTTACAAAAGAAAAAAAATGTGTGATTTAACATTATGAACTGGTAAAAAACAATGTGTCTGAAATTTTAACCAATAGTCAGTTCAGCTCCAGCTGTATGATAACAAGCACATCTCAGACTATTCCTGGAAAGGGATTTTATTATTATTTTAAAGAGGTCCTGCTGTAGTAATCCTTGTGGCACTGGCCTGAATGCAAAGACCACTGAGGCTGGGAAACTACTAGAGGTACAGAATTCTCACTTCCGGTGACGCGCATGCTGGGGCGGGGTTCCCCCCGGGCCCCGATTCCCTGGCGTCTGGGAACGGAGCCTCCGGGGCGGGGGATTTCCGCCCTACCGGGGGAGTTGGCAGCCCTAGGGTGTGTGCATGTGGGTGCCCCTGTTTTCCCAGGCCGAGAAGCAGCAATGAAGTCTGTGGGACTATCTCCCCAACCCCTGGATGTGTTTGTCTCCTGCTTAGAAACTAACTGCCTCCAACATTATTTGCACTAATGCCCAAGCTTCTTCGCTGGTGTTTGATAGCCTAATAGATAACATTGAAGATGCTGGCCTTGATCTATGAAACCCTTGTCATATTGCAGCCACGGCCTCCTTCCCCACGTGCCTTACGACAGCTGCAAGAACCCTTTTGGCGAGGCCATTCATTTACCAAGTCCATCTAACAGAGGCATGCATTATTGGTAACAATATGACTTGTCTTGGAACTTATCCCCTGGAAGCTTCCTGAAACACATGTTGGAAGTACACTATATCTCTGGAGAGTTAGAGGGAGACCCAGTTCCTTGGTCCTCTTTATCAAGTTCTTACAACCTTGGCCATCTTTCATCAGCTTTCATAGTTGCTGTTTTGAAAGCAGTTTATCAACTCCAAAAGGTAATGGCACATCTTGTACAATTCAGGACAGGATTTGTGTGTGTGTTTGTGTGTGTGTGACTGCCAGGGCCGTAACTGATATTCCCCCCATCAGCAATTCCTTACTCTGGCTCTTTGGCTGCAGTTTTTCACTTGTTCTCTCCTTGGAATCACAAGACAAATTTCCTTCTGGAGAGGCATCTTGGGACTCGGCTCTAAGCAGGGGGGTGAGGGGTGGGGAGGCTGTTTAAAAAAATATTTCAGGAACTGTCATTTAACAAAACAAAAAGCGGTGACCGCCAGCAATTCTGCTTTTTCCCCCTGCATCGATGGTCTAACTAATAGTAGACTTTTACCCCTTTTTAATAAAGAAAAGAGACAAAAGTTAAACAAGGGGTTCAGAAGGGTCTCACCCTGCTCGGGGTTGTTCCATGAGATTATTTAAAAGCTGTGTGCTCAGTGAATAGTGGTAAGCGGAAAATATTGTTTATTTTTTAGCGTCTGGAAACGTTTTGCGGCTAAAAGGGAAAGGAGCCATTTTCTGTAGAGCGAAAAATTAATCCCATCTTCCAAGTTGGAAGACAAACTGAAAACAAACTGACAAGAACGTGCAGCTGTGGAATCAGCATCCACCCATTCTACTGGAGGCTGCACAGCTTGAGTGAGACGCTGGACTGTTCTGGTCCAGCTTTTTGGCATCAAGATGCTATTTTACTCATCTACAGAGTTAATGAAAGGGCTCATTGTCTGACACTGTCCCTTAAATGTCAAACGCCATCTAACAAAACAGTCCAGAGTGTCTGCTGTGTCCGGATGAATGCAAGGGAAGGCAGATGGGAAGAGCCAACAGGACAGTTCTGCACACTGACCAACACATTTCCAAGAAACTGGAGGAGCACAGATTTCTTATGCGTCAGCACAGTCTCCATATCATTTGACTTGTTCACCGGGTGGCAAAGAGGTCAGGAAGTCAATCAAAGAGGCTGAGGGAGGGTTGTCTGTCTAGAAAATACAGCTGCAAAAGGGAAATTTTGGGTAGGGTTGCCAAACCCCCAGTCCGGGCGGGTGTTCCCCAATTTTCTGGCTGGCAGGGGAAATCCCACCCCCGAGCGGGGACACTGCCGGGCAACGCCCCCCTACATGATGAGGTCACCCAGAAGTGACATCATCGCCGCCATTGGGGGGGTAACACTAGTTTTTGGGCAAACTCTATGGCTTGGAAGGCAACAAACAGGACCCGGGCGCACCCCGCTGGATCAAAGATAGGACCGGGCAGCCCTAATCTTGGGCTTGTCTTCTGCCAAACACCCACACACACAGAGACACACACACTGCTTGTTACATGTTACCTTCATGCCAAGATTTGGCTTCTGTGGTTGTAAAGAGCTGCAACACTGACATCCTCTCTTTTCATTATTTCCCTCAGCACCAGCTTCAGTTTCCTAACAGTTCAGTACACCACCATTGGTTTCTCACATAGGCGCATTCCCACACAGCCTGATTTTCACTCTCCCCCAGTGCAGAACTGCTTTGCTCAGCAGACAGTTGTTTAAACAGACAGTTAAATCAGTCACAGATCCTATTAAATCAGTCATAAAAATAAATCCTGTTTTTTGGCCCAGTGTAGATGTCGCGTGAAACCATGGTTTAGTTAAAACTAGTACAATTTGTTATGTTCTGAGTTATTGTGTTTGAATATGGTATCGTAATCCTTGCATTACTATTGGTTGAAGAATAAAGATGGTTCATTGGTCCTAACGCCACACTAAAAGCAACCAAACACATGGCTCCGCTTAGGGTCAATCAAGCCTATGGTATGGAGTTACAATGTTTTTTGTTTTCACTGTGCAATGGTATAAATATAGAGAAACTGCAAGCATTGTTGTTTGAGTCCTGAAGCAATGTTGAATAAAGGTTTTTGTTAATGGTTCATCGTCTCCTGCCTCAATACTTGAAATTGGCGACGAGGATGGGATTGCCTGGTTCCAACTGACTGAAATCACTCTCCGCTCAGCCGAAATCACTAAGGGCGCACAGAGAGACGTGACACGGTCATGGCTGCCAAGAGCCATATCGAACCGTTTGACCCAAAGGTTGGCAACTGGGAATCCTACCTCGACCGTTTCGAATGCTACCTCGTAGCTAATGGTATTGACAGAGACGATGTTCGCCACACCACTTTCCTAAGCTCGCCAGGCCGTATTTGACATTGCTCAGGATCTAGTGGCTCCGTCTAAAGTCTTAGAGACTCCCCTCAGCATCATCAAGACGCGGCTCAATGAATACTTCA